TTGGAGAATTTTGAGCATTACTTTACTAGCGTGTGAGATGAGTGCAATTGTGCAGTAGTTTGAACATTCTTTGGCATTGCCTTTCTTTGGGATTGGAATGAAAACTGACCTTTTCCAGTCCTGTGGCCACTGTTGAGTTTTCCAAATTTGCTGGCATACTGAGTGCAGCACTTTCACAGCATCATCTTTTAGGATTTGAAATAGCTCCACTGGAATTCCATCACTTCCACTAGCTTTGTTTGTAGTGATGCTTCCTAAGGCCCACTTTGCATTCCAGGATATCTGGCTGTAGGTGAGTGATCACATCATCATGAATATCTGGGTCATTGAGATATTTTTTGTACAGTTCTTCTTTTGCCACCTCTTCTTAATATCTTCTGCTTCTGTTAGGTCTATACCATTTCTGTCCTTTATTGTGCCCACCTTTACATGAAATGTTCCCCGGGTATTTCTAATTTTCTTGAAGAGATCTCTAGTCTTTCCCATTCTATTGCTTTCCTCTATTTCTTTTCAGAGATCAATGATTTATATGCATTAATTTCTTTGCATATACACACTACTACATATAAAATAGGTAAGTAAGAAGCACCGACTGTGCAGCACAGGGAACTCAATACTCTATAATGACCTGTATGCAAATAGAATCTAAGAAAGGGTGGATACATGGATATGCATAACTGATACATTTTGGTGCATACCCAAAACTAATGCAACATTGATAACTATACTCCAATAAAATTTTTTTAAAGGCACATATGTAGGGCACAGTCATTGTTTTCTACGGAGGGGATCCTGAGTTTCGTCTACGAAGAAAAGGAGGGGCAAGGGTCCTGCGGTGTGGATGAGCTTGCCGAATTCACAGAACAACTGGGAGGGCAGTGTGCTGGGAGCATAGTGTGGCAGCCAGGGGCCATGTGTGATGGCTTCAGTGAGGCATGCTGAGGTCCAGTTATGCAAGACCTTGTGGACCTGTGAGGAGGAACTTGGATTTAACTCAAAATCTAAGACAACACCATTAGTGAGGTTTAAGCAGTGAAGAAATAAGTAGCTCATGTTTTTAAAGGATTCTGCACTGAATAGATTGAAAGAAGCAAAAGTTTATACTTTGGTGGGGAGATTGGGAAAGAGGCTGCTCCTCAGTTGCGGGGAGAGGAGACGTGGCTCATTTCAGGGTGTGCAGGAGGCAGCATCCACAGGGCAGGAGGAGGTGGGGAGGGCAGTGGGGGCAGATGGGAGGAGGAGATGGAGGTTCTCTGTCTGAAGCAGCCAGAGAGGCGGGGCTGACTAATGCTGGGCAGTGCCCTCAGTCAGCATCTCTGCGCTCAAACAGGGTGACTGAGGAAAGCTGAATGAAGGGAGTACTTAGGAAGACTGCCCAAGTTCAAAGGGAACACAGCGATGGTGAGGGCCCCGGTGCCACAAGGAAGGAGCCGCCAGCATCCGCAGCTGAAAAGATCCTGGGACTCAGAGAGGGCAGAGTGGGAGCCACGACTGCCGAGGAGTGACCCGGGATCCCAAGGACCCTCTCCTCCCACCGGCCCATCTCCTCTGTGCAGCTACTGAAGGACCCCAAACTGAAGCCAAATTGTCTGCAAAGGCGGTAGCGCCGGCGGAGAGAGCTGGTGGGCGGATGCTAAGGTGCAGGCCTAGAAAGAGCAACATAGAAATACCCGAACTGTGTTGCGGGTAGAAATCAGGTTATGTTTTGTACCTGTTAAGTTGGGGATACTCTTCTGGGACTGGAACTGGAGATTAAAATCCCGATGTCATCACCATCTAGGTGTTACTGGAAGCAATGGAGAGATGAGATACCTAGAAAATCTGGGACGGACTGAAAAGACAGGCAGGGGTAAGAGCTGGGAATTTTGAGCTTTAGATGCAGTGTGAAAGGAGCCTAAAAAGAAGATTGGTTTAAACTAGTGGTTACCAGAGGGAAGAGGGGCATGGGGAGGGACAAGATAGGGGTGCAGAGTGGGAGGCACAAACTATTGAGTGTGAGATAGGCTACAGCATGTACTGTACAGTGCAAGGAATATAGTAGATATTTTGTAATAATTGCAAATGGAGTGTATAAAAATTATTTTTTTAATTTAATAAACTAAAGAAGATTGTTTCTGAGTCCAGAAAAGGAGAATACCCCAAAGAATGTGATGTGGAGGAATTCAAGAGGGAAAAGCAGAGTCGGAGAAAGAAAGTGGGCAGATACCCTCTGTGCAGTGGGGAGGTTAATCAGGTGAGTCTGTCAATCCTGAATCCCTTTTTACTTTTCAAAATTGCACAAAAGCTTTAATTAAACATGTTTATACTTTTTTTGCAGTATAAAAGGTATACTAAATTGTTTAAGCAACAAATCCACTGGGCTTTTCTAATCACATAACACCAGGACCCCCAAATAGTCTAAGCAAAACAGTCTACCACAAAGAAACTCCAGGCTTAAATAGTTTTACAAGCAAATTGTTACTGACCCTTAAATGTCAGATCACTCCTATCTCATCCCAGCCAGTCCATAGAACAGAAATAGAAAGTTCCGTGATTTATTTTTTCAAGGCTCTTATAACCCTGATGTGGAAAATAGACTAAAATAGTATGAGAATGGGCAATTACTGACAAAATGTTGGCAAACATTGTATAGAATAGAATGTATCAGAACCAAGAAAAGAATACAAGGGTGATTCAAGACTGGTAAAATCAAGATAAGAGAAGAAAAAGTGTATAATTCATCCAATAGATATAGATTAGTGCTTGATAAAACTCAAGACATATTTATGATTAAGAAATAAAATGCAATGATCGCAACCAAACAGCTAAAGGAAACTTCCATCTGAAGGCGCATCTGGGCTTCCCTGGGGCTCAGTTGGTAAAGCATCTGCCTGCAGTGCAGGAGACCCGGGTTCGATTCCTGGGTCAGGAAAATCCCCTGGAGAAGGAAATGGCAACTCACTCCAGTATTCTTGCCTGAAGAATTCCATGGTCAGAGGAGCCTGACAGAGTACAGTCCACTGGATCGCAAGAGTCAGACACGACCTAGGGGCTAAACCACCGCCAAAGCGTATCTATCACGAACCTAAAATGAATGCCATGTATTATGGTGAACTATTTGAAACACTCCTTCTAAAGTCAGGAATAAGAGAAGGGTGCTCACAATCACATCTTCATTTAACCTTGAGGAATCCAGCTCTTGGCCAAAATCCTACATGAGGTCTTTCAGCCCTCACCCATCTACCCCACCTGGCGACGACCAAGGCCTTACTCGGCAGGACTCCTGGGGCAGAGCCGCCCTCCCCACAGCAGACGCGGTGCAGGGTCCGGAGGGAGAAAGTTGCCGTTAAGCACTTAGCCCCCACCCGCCCCTGCACGGCCCTGGGACGCCCATCAGAGGCCATCTGATTGCGGGGCCCTGGGCAAGGTGTTTCTCGGGTGCCTCTGCCGAGACCACCTGGGTGTGGGAGTGGCTTGGAGACACTTTGCTCCACTCTGACACAGTCTTCAGTGCTGGTCCAGCCCCTTCCCCATCTTCCCGCCCCTGGCTGTCCTGGGTCCATAAATGGCAGGAAGCTTTTCGGGGGAAGGGGGAGTATCCACTGCAATGAAAGGATCCTTCCTCTTGGCTGGTACATCTGACTCACTCAATACCATTCTGTAGGGAAAAACAACCACCGGTGGGACCAACCCCCAGACTCTTGCTTATATTGGCAGTAAGGCCTGACTGTAATTTTGTCTTGTTCTAGTTGACAATCTTGTCACCTGGCTGTTCAGCTCAGCTCTTGACAACATTGGACAAGAAGAGGTCCTTGCCAACATAATGTAGCCCTTATTCTTCTCCACCTAAAAAAATAGAGGCATAAGAGTTTCAAAACTGTTATTCCTAGACTATGAGATCGCCTACATAGAAAATCTATGGACAGATCATAAGAAAAAAGAAGAGTTTAGGAAGGTTGCTGGAATCAACATCAATGTACAGAAATCAACATGATTCTGATTATATGCCAGCAACCAGCCAATTTCAAAAACACATTTAAAATGGTCCATTCACAATGGCAGCAAACACATAAATTAACTAATTAAAGCACAGTGTATAAATATAAGAACTGACAAAGAAAATGTTAAAATATGATTGAAGGACACTCAACAGGGCTTAAAGTTATAGGATAATGTAGTGTATTTATGAATACCCAATATCATAAATGGCTTCTCAGGTGGCACAGTGGTAGAGAATCTGCCTGCCAACGCAGGAGATACCAGAGACGGCTTCAATCCCTGGGTCAAGAAGATCCCCTGGAGAAGGGAATGGCTACCCACTCCATTATTCTTGCCTGGAAAAGTGGATGGACAGAGGAGTCTGGCGGCTACAGTCCAGAGCTGGACGTGACTGAGAATACACACACACACACAGACACAGACACAGACACACACAGTACCATAAATGCGCCAGTTCTAGCAAATTAATCTATAAATTCCACACACCTGCCTACTTTGTGGAACTTCATAAGCTGATCCTAAAACTCACGGAAGTAAAAGAACCAAGAATAGCTTAGAACAGCATTTTTGAAGGATGGACCCAAGGACTCCAGGGGATCCTTGAGACTCTTGTAGGTGTCGGGGGTGGGGGTGGTCTAAGAGATCGAAACTATTTTCGTAATAATACTGAGACATTATTTGCCATGTTCATTCTCATTTCCTCACTCTGGAATTGTCCAGAGGCTACATGATAGTTAATATCATAACAGACTGAATGCAGGAGCAGCTATGGGAATTAAACCAGACATTAAAGAAATTGCAAAAATATAAAACAGTGCCATTCGAATCTTCTTGTTTTGGAATATTAGNAGGACTCAATTTCTAAGAGTGTAAAGGGCTCAAAAAGTCTGAGAACTGCTGGCTTAGACAACTCAAAAACAGAAGGGCGTGGGCTTGCCTTTCTAGAGATCAGTACTTACTGTAAAGCTACAATAGTTAGACAGAGCAGCTAAACTAAAACGTTGGGTCTTCACTGAATTTTGTGATAGAATATGAAGAAAGAGGCGCTCTCATACGCTGCTGACAGCACAGTAAATTTGTTCAACTACTTTGGAGAGTGATTTGGCCGTGTTGAAGATGCATATATCATAGCACCTGGCAATTCCAATTCCAGGTACAAAATCCTAAGGAAATTTGAGCAGATGGGCACATAGGGATAAGGATGTTAATTACAGCATTATTGGTAACAACAAAAAAAAAAATCTGGAAACAATCTACATGCCCTCCCCCATGGGAATGGGAAGAGTCTACAGTAACCTAGAGTAACGGTTACTCTTCAGAAGGGAGGGCAAAGAAATGGGAGAGGGCCCACAAGGGGCTTTCAGAGGGAGCTGGCGTTCGTTTATGAGAGACAGAGAGAGAGAGAGAGCATGGCATAACGCCAGCATGGAGGTAAACCCGGGTGATGTTCACACAGGACTGTTGTCATAATTACTCTCAATCTTTAAAATGCTACACAATAAAAACAAGTGCATGAGTCCACAGACTGGAGACCAAACACATTCATGTGCATTGCTGTTCTTTAACATGCACACGGTGAAACTGCATGCCTCTAAAGAGAACGTTAAAAATTTAAATTCAGGTACAAAGTGGTCTAAATACACACCACAGTCTAGCTCTTCCTCACATTCTAAGTGTCAAAGGAAGTGTTATTTGTTGTGAGTTTTATAACCAAGCTATTTCAAGAACTGCAGTCGAAGCCTGGAGATCAGACTATTTCGGTCTTCTGGTGTTTCTTAGGAGGTGCCATATGTTGGAATAGTTGTCAGCCAGGAAAACATCCGCTACACAAGTGCGCCAGGAATTCTGGGACGTCGGCTTGCATAACCAATCTGAGAGTAAATTTGAAGAACAAGAGCGACATCAAGGATGCGCAGGGCGTCTCCCTCGTCTGTGGTCATCTCATTCTTAACCCAAGTGGACCTAAGGATTATCAGTCAAATGAATTGGATGGCAGAATCAATGGAAGAATTTCAACCTTGATTTATTCTTTAGGATGAAAGGGGATGAAGTTAGTTTCATGGGTCACTATTCCCAGGGCCCCAGCACCCAGATTTCTGTGTGGCAGAACTCTTAGCTAAGCGGTGAGGCAGACAGAGTATAGCAGACTCTAATTTGTAAACTATGAATAGATACTGTGCTATGTGCTAAGTCGCTTTAGCCACATCCGAGTCTTTGTGACCCCATGGACTATAACCCATCAGGGTCTTCTGTCCATGGGATTCTCCAGGCAAGAATACTGGAGTGGGTTGCCATCTCCTCCAGAGGATCTTCGCCACCTAGAGACTGAATCCGCATTTCCTTTCCTGCATTGGCAGACAGGTTCTTTACCACTAATGCCACCTGGGAAGCCCCACGAATAGATGCTAGTTTTAATTATTGTTTCAATTCAACTCCACCAGCATCCATTAAATGTATACTTTATGAAAGGGGCTGCAGTAGGCTCCTTGCTAAGGATGAGAGAGGAAAACAAAACTGAATAAGACATTCTCAACACATACACATGTAGGAGGTGCCTGGCACAGGGAAAGTGAGTTTTCTTTATTATTTTAAGCCAGCACTGCCAACTGCTTTTCCAAAACAGGACACAGAACACTCTCCAGAAATGTTCTTGGACTCTGCTCACAACACCACAAAGGTCTCTCTGGGGCTTCCCTGGTGGCTCAGATGGTAAAGAATCTGCCAACCAATGCAGAAGACACTAGTGCAATCCCTGGTCTGGGAAGATCTCGTGGAAAAGGAAATGGCAACACACTCCAGTATTCTTGCCTGGAGAATCCCCTGGACAGAGGAGCCTGGTGGGGTCACAAAGAGTCAGAGATGACTGAGGGACTAACACACACACACACACACACACAATCACTGGCTTTAGGAATCAAATCATTTTTGTGATTTGATGAAAACAGAGAATAGATTCGTGTGGGATTCAGTAAGCTTCAGAGAAGAGCAGAATCCAGTCCATGCATGACTCCTTTCCTTTAGATGTTTGAACTAATTAGGAACTCTGATGTCTTAGGCTAGTTTCAGTCAAAACTCTCTGGGAGGAAAAGACCCCAAAGCAGACAAGAGAAGTAAGCATCTGTCCTAGTGGTCCTTGCTCTGTACAGAGCGATCATCAGGAGGAAAGGCTTTAAGACAACTCCAGATTCAGCCACTCTGTGCATTTGAACTCATGAACAAAAACCAAAATAACTTGCACCCTCACAAACTGTGCTGGAGTCAAGACCAGGAAGGGGACTGGTCTTCAGACACCAAACTTTTTCATAGCAACAGAAACCATGACAGCTGAAAACCAAGCCCAGTTACTTAGCAGGTGGGTCTGTCATTTGTAAGCAGGAGAGATCTTACTTAAGTAAGAAGTAAGCTTCTCAGGACCTTGGTCCTTTGGGATGGCAGTTCATTAAATTTTGATGTTGAATTTCCTGTTAACACAAGTACGTGGAGCTGACACTATCTACTGGACTAGAATAGGAGAATCATTATATTTGTTTTCCAAAACAGGGAAGTGGGTCAAAGTGGTTACACACACATATACCCAGAACATCCACAAAACTAACCATTTTGAGGAAATAGCACTATTGCAGAAGCCTGCAACTAGTGCTAAAGAAGCCTTATGGAGAAAGTCAGTCCTTTAAAAAAAAAAAACTGTAGAAATTAACTGTCAAGAATAAATAGGACACAGTTCCTAAATGGTTATGGATTGTTCAATCATTTTGTTATGCATTAAAAATATTGTATGCAGAATTACATTAGTTCTACCCCCAAAGAATTACTATGAGTAATTTTATATAAAAGTTTCAGAAGCCAAATTTGTCATTAGTGTGAAATGTAGGCGTTTGAGTTCAGACTGTAAAATTAAAAATTTAAAGATGGTGTTCCAATTCTACAGAGGAAACGTGTAGCCACCGCCTCCCCCCCGCCCAGTATTCACAAGTGTGATACACAACACCAATGCCAGAAAAGCTGTGCCAAAGCCTGGGTACACTGGATAGTCAAGCAGAAAGGCTGTCAGTCCTTGGATGTGCCTCACTAAGCTTGGAGTAACAGCCAGGGCCAGTTACAGAATCTGCAGGGCTCAGTGAAAAGTAAAAATGCAGGACCTGTTCAAAAATAGGGAGTGCCTAAAATATAAAACTTTTTCCTTTCTTCCAAGGTCTTTTTCTCAACTTGTCATGGTGCTTTTATTGGCTGTTTGTATTAACTTTCTATGGCTGCGTAACAAATTACCCCCAAACGTAGCCACTTCTAACAACACCCATGTAGTGTCCCACAGTCTTCGTGGGTCAAGAGTCCAGGAATGTGTAGCTGGGTGCTCTGCCCAGGGTCTCAGAGGCTTCAGTCTTGGTGTTGGCCAGGGCTGGGGTCTCATCTGAGGCTTGGAGTCCACTTTCAAGGTCATGCTGCTGTTGGCAGAACTCTTTTTCCAGCTGCAGGACTCACAGTGCTCATTTCTTCAAAGGTCAGCAGAAGAAAAGTCTCACTTCTTTACGCTTTTATAGGGCTTGCCTGATTAGGTATGGCCCACCTAGGATAATCTCACTTTGATTCATTGATTATTTCAAGTTAACTGATTAGGGGCTTTAATTACCTCTGCCAAACTCTTTCACCTCTGCCATAGTCTGCTAGTTAGAAGCAAACTTCAGGTCCTGCTGACTTGCTACGTGAGGATTGTACAAGGGCATAAGTCATCAAGGGATCATTTTAGAACGCTGTCACACTGTTCAATGTATTTCAATGTAAAGAAAAATTAAAATCTTTAACCTAATTTTGACTGTTCATCTTTACATTGTGAAAGGTCAGTTTTAAATATGAATAGAATATTTACTTGTAGGTGGAAATCAAAATTACAGCTGGTATCTTGTAATATTTATGTAATATGTAATATTTATTTGGCATGCAGATAGTGGAAATGTGGTCCCAACTAAACTAACTCTTCTGTTCCACTTCTTGATGCCTGTACATCCCACTGACATCCTCTACCGTAGGCTTCCTGATGACTTTTCTCTTTTCTCCTGTATCATCATTTTGAATGTCAGTGGCTGACTAACATAGGGAAGTAACACAAGCCAGTCAAAATATGGTGGAGCTCCTCGGTCATTCATAATTTTTGGAATAGCACTGCCTTCTTTCTGCATGTGAAACCAGTTCTGGCATCCACAGAGAGCCCGGCCTCTCAGAATGCCCAGGTGTAGACAGAATGCACTCACCTGTGCTAGGCTGAGTTGCACTGAGCTCCCACAGACTGTGAGTCCCTGGAATTCTGTGCCCTTGGATATCATGAACACTGTATGCAAATAGGGCAGCAAAGAGATAAATATGCACGCTGGACCTGTTTACTCAGGCACACGCTACATTGTCCCATCAGACTTGAATTGGTATGTTTGTTGTTGTTTTCATTTAGTCGCTCACCCTTGTCTGACTCTTTGCGACCCCATGGACTGCAGCATGCCAGGCTTCCCTGTCCTTCACTACCTCCCAGAGTGTGCTCAAACTCATGTCCATTGAGTTCGTGATGCCAGCCAATCACCTCATCCTCTGTTGTCTCCTTCTCTTGCATCAGGGTCCCAGCATCAGGGTCTTTTTCAATGAGTCGGCCCTTCACATCAAGTGGCCATAGTATTGGAGCTTCATCTTCACCATCAGTCCTTCCAGTGAATATTCAGGACTGATTTCCTTTAGGATTAACTGGTTTGATCTCCTTGGAGTCCAAGGGGACACTCAAGAGTCTTCTCCAACATCACAGTTCAAAAGCATAAATTCTTCAGCTCTCATCCTTTATTGTCCAACTCTCACATCCATACATGATTACTGGAAAAACCATAGCTTTGACTATACAGACGTTTGTTGTCAAAATATGCTCTCTAGGTTTGTTATAGCTTTTCCTCCAAGGATCAAGCATCTTTTAATTTCATATTGCAGTCACTGTCCACAGTGATTTTGGAGCCCAAGAAAATAAAGCCAGTCACTGTTTCCATTGTTTCCCCATCTACTTGCCATGAAGTGATGGGACCAGATGCCATGATCTTAGTTTTTTGATGAGGTGGATGAGCCTAGAACTTATTATACAGAGTGAAGTGAATTAGAAAGAGAAAGAAAAATACTGTATTCTAACACACACATATATATGGAATCTAGAAAAATGGTACTGAAGTTTTTTGAATGGTGAGTTTTAAGCCAGTTTTTTTCATTCTCCTCTTTCACCCTCATCAGGAGGCTCTTTAGTTCCTCTTCCATTTCTGCCATAAGGGTGGTGCCATTTGCAGATTTGAGGTTATTGATATTTCTCTTGGTAATTTTGATTCCAGCTTGTGTTTCATCCAGACTGGCATTTCTCATGATGTACTACGCATATAAGTTAAATAAGCAGGGGGACAATATACAGTCTTGATGTTCTCCTTTCCTGATTTGGAACCAGTCTGTTGTTTCATGTCCAGTTCCAACCATTGCTTCATGACCTGCATACAGGTTTCTCAGGAAGCAGGTCAGGTGGTCTGGTATTTCCATCTCTTTAAGAATTTTCCACAGTTTGTTGTGATCCAGTCAAAGGCTTTAGCATAGTCAACGAAGCAGATGTTTTTCTGGAATTCCTTTGCTTTTTTCTATGATCTTACAGATGTTGTAAATTTGATCTCTGGTTCCTCTGCCTTTTCTAAATCCAGCTTGAACATCTGGGAGTTCTCAGTTCATGTACTGTTATTGCTTGGAGGATTTTGAGCATGACCTTGTTAGCATGTGAAATAGGTGCAGTTGTGCAGTAGTTTGAACACTCTTTGGCATTGCTCTTCTTTGGGATTGGAATGAAAACGGACCCTTTTCCAGTCCTGTAGCCACTATTGAGTTTTCAAAATTTGCTGGCATATTGAGTGCAGTACTTTCACAGCATATTTTAGGATTTGAAATAGCTCAACTGGAATTCCATCACC